ATATCGAAATGCAGTTGCCGTGTTTTATTCTGGTTTGTTATTTCCAATTATCTTAGCGTTTCTTATTTGCCCTGCTTTGCTCAGTACACACAGGGGCACGCTGTATTTTTATTAATATCTCCTCTGGTATTGTGGTAGTTAAAACAGGTTGATAATAACCATGCGATGGAATTTGGCTTGTGTAGGAGCTGCGTTGTGTAGGAGCACGTTTTTTTTTCGTTGTGTTACGGAATGCATCATCTGAAGAGAGAAAAGTTCATAAAAAGGTTTTTTTTTGCCATCGAATGTGTAGTATGTAAATTGTGCAAGAATTTTCCTCCCTGCTCTCACCCCAATTCAACATACATATATAGTCGTTTTAGGAAGCTTTTTTGTAAGCGTGATTTTTAGTGTAACTGTTACCTTGTAAAAAGTGTAGTGTTGAAATATGAAATCTGTAATCCTTATGCTTGATTGATATTTGATTGTGTGATGGAACCCAAATCACAACACGCCCCATAGAATAAATCGCTGGGACGCAAAATGTGCTCATTTTTCGCAGAATTTATTTTCCAGTGCCTTATGATAATTTGCAAAATACAGACGTTGTGAATTTGAAAACGGTATGGTTTTTATAGACAAGACCAACACTATGTAACAGTACGTGCAATCTATGATCCCATTGGAACATTTTATACAGTGGGCTGTTGCAAACATTAAACAAATTCACACGCTGGTGAATACTGCCCTGTTGTTATTTATTTGGAGAAAACGTTGATGTATAGTATTTTATGCACATATTTTACAGGCAACAGGTGCTGAGAAAAGCGAAGCTGTTTGTCCGAAGAGGTAAATATCTGATGCATGTCTAGTCCATTAAAAGAGATACCCTGATATTCAGTGTGTACTGTATATCTGACCTGTGTGTATTTATGTGAGAGTGTCGGTATGATGGAGTTGTAAATATGTAATGGCTTGTTCTCAATTTAGAAAAATCGGATGATCAATAAATAATAGTGCAATTAAATTTGGTGCGTATGCGGTTTTGAGCTCGTTGCAAAACATTAACCATATTATTTAGTATTGAGAGTTCTTTTTTACTCGGGAGGTGATGGTAAGACTTTTTAAACCTTCAATGACCTGGATTCCAGGTTTTTATCTGGAACCTTTTTAAATGATGTGGGAGAACTTGCACTTCGTAATTTTATTTCGCTTTTTATCCGTTACGTCCAGTGATTTCCCTGTAATTGTAATTTTCTTAACAGGCTTCATGCATTAAAGGGGGCCCAGAAATTGAGTGAGTTGTTTTCTTGTGGTCGTATGACGACCGCAAATACCAAAAAGGCAGGATAATGAATTTTATGGTCGGAATCCGGATTCGCAGTGCTGGAGGGTTGAAATAATCCCAGCAGCTGTTTCACTTGGGGGTAAAAAAAGAGAAAGATTGGGAGGCTTTCGGTTTCCGAAGCTTAAGGTTCTTTCACAGTTCAGCACAGGGCGATATTGTGCAGCGCGCTAGGGAGGCCTGATTGTCAGCGCGCAGTTTGTTTAAAATATTACAGCGGTTTAATTTCCGCTTATCACGTGGTGTGACATCACGAATTCCAGGTCTTATCCCACTGGGGTGCGGCTTCGTACCAACGTGTTTTGAGCACAACATCTGATTTAGGGCTCTAAAAACCTGTCTGTCAGGCCGCCGGTGTAGTCGATTCCACCTAACTCTCAATACCTCCTCACTCGGCCCAATTCTGGGATATAAAAAAATTCGCGTTGCACCAGGAGTTGTATTGCAGAACAACGGCTACATAAGCACGTGTCCCAGGCATGCCTCGTGTTCCTCTATATCTTGGGGTCCCTGCGTGTATCCAACGTAGACTGTTTTCAGTTTCATCTTTTCTCGACTGCTTTAGAATAACGTTAAAAAAATCCAGATTTACAATTTGATTTACAATACAGTCACGCAGCCGACGAAGCCGGGTTTTTAGTGCCTGTTTCCGTTTTTCTCGTTCGCTTTATTTGAGGTCCTTTTGCGGGGATCTTAAACTAACACGAACTCTCCGAGGCCACTGAAAGGGATGCAGGCCTTGTGAGGACCGCGCGCGTTCTGTTCACTGGTTTACGTGGAATGTAAAAAAATCACAATGTGGTTTCCTTGAAAAAGAGTAAAATCGGTAATAATAACCGATCTATGATAAACACACACATGCTGTTTTTCAAACGTCTTATATTTGCACGAGTCTTTTTTTTTTATTTCTGTCTCTTTGAAATGGAAAGGTTGTCTGTCTTCACATCCTGAAATAAACAGGAATTCTGTGGAGTTTGTCTTCCCTTTGTTTCACACCAGTGTGTCCGCATTTGCCGCACGGTACGTCTTTAAAGGTGTGCTTGCATGATAAAAGGCTCGCTTCGGATATACAGATCAGATCCTGGACATTGCGTTCAACTTTCCTCTCCTCCTGCCTTTTGCTCTTTTCTGCTTCAGCGGAGCGCTTTAACAAATCATTGTAAGAGTTAAAGAAAATAAATCACTCTGCGCCTTATCGGGGGTCCTCCCTTTAAAATAAGCTTTGAGAGGATCTGCTTTATTGGTTTAAACTAACCATGATGCTGCATTAACCCTCGTTAGCAATACATTTCCGGGACGACCCCTGAGAGAGAAAAAAAAAAACTTTTTCGTGTTGCATTTATAAATGAAACGGAGTGGAACAAAATGGAAAAAAATGAGGAAGGATTAAAAGAGTTATTGTCATTATTAAATTAGAGATAGAATACCAAATTGCTTAAGTTGTAATTGTGTGCGCATGGACGTCATGTTTCTCTTGGTCCTATCTAGTCAACAGCATACACTAACGGTGGATTTTTTTTTAAACTGGAAACCGACACTTGCATGCGATTCGGGTGACAAAGAATAAAGTCGAATCCCAAACTGTATGAGAGACTGACCTACTTGTGGGACCAGGGCGCGTCTTCTTCAGAATATTGCTCTTCAAAGTTAGTTTGAAAGAATGCAATTGATTAATCACGAGTCAGGTGATGTGTGTATGACCCAATCGGGCAAGAGAGTGTGTATCCTTTTAGAAAGTGTGCGCGCTTTTTTTCCCTCCTCCCTTTTTGATGTGGATGTGTATTTATCTGTTTACCGACAACTGCATTTTGCTGTGATTTTCAGAATCCAGAAGCACTGCACTTGATTATCATGAATCGAATGTCCTCATCTCCGCTTGCGTATTATCGCTGACTAAGATAAATGGGAGAGACGGCGATAATGTACTACACCTATAGACTCAGTGTAACTGGATTTGGTATCAGCAGCAGTATCATCAGCATGAAAAGACGTCTTGTAATTGTATCAAAAAGATGTTTGTTCAAACGCGCCTGGGCGTATTTCAGTACCGTGGACAGAGACCCACACCTTCATTTTTGCGCGACTCCTGTAAGCTAGTGCTTAAAGAGTTTTCACAATGTGAAAACATGC